GGAGCCGTGCCTTTCGGTCTACCACTGGGCGGTTACGCCGCGAATGGACAGCCCTTTGGACTGACATCCTATTTGGTTGGCCGAAGTCGACGTGACAATCAGTATTAGATGTCTTTTATTTATAATTTATTTTTTGTGTGAGTTTTTTATGAAATAATTTTTTTGATGAAATTCATAGTATTCATACATCCATTAAGTACAAAATATAAACTAGTACATTTTCACTATACAATTAACAATTATTTATTTAATTGTATACTATTTTAGATATAAATTATTTAGCCAACAATATCATAATTATATCATCTTAATTTTATAAGTCTTATATTGTGACTCATTTAATTTTATAACTATTTTTTTCTTAACTTATCATTTAACACAATTTAATTATGAATTAATAGCTTTAAGTAAACTTTGGTGTAAAAACTACATTTGTTTTGATTTTATATTTATTTGAATTGAATGCTTAACACTTTCAAAAAAAAATAAAAAGATATATTTCAACAATAAAGATTAAATTAATTGTGTACAACTCGTTTAATAAATTTATTTTTATCAATTACAATCATAGCTCACACGAATCGATAAATTAATATATATTTTATAATAAGATAATATAATAATAAACAATAATTCTCATAGATCTTATCATTTACACTGTAAATATTTAATTTAATTTAATTTTAAAACAGTGTCTGAGTACGGTAGTAATTATGCAATTCATTTTCAAAACTATTTTATAAGAATGAATAGAAAATTGTGCTTAATTTGTGCTATATTATTAAATTTAAATCATCAACAAGGTAGTTTGTGTTCATAAATGTCTTGATCGCATGAGTGGGTGGGAACGGGTGCTTAGAACTCGTCCTTCGGAAAGTTGGGGTCGTCCCAGAAGTAGTCCCGACATCTAAATGTATACATCATTTTGAATATTTTGTAATTTTTAAATATTATTTTTAATTGCAATACAGTATTGTAGTGTATTTGTAATAAATTAATTGTTGTATACCTGAACCAATAGCACGAACCGCTGCAACAGGTTGATTTCATAAAGGGGAACGGTATGCACGGAGCTGTAGGTGCCCCGCAACCATCTACCATATCGGGAACGGTAGTCATTAGCACAATAAGTGTTAGAATGAATATTACATAAAAATTCTTAAACATTATTAATTTAATTGTTGAGTACAAACACTACAGAATGACAAGAATTATGGATTATTCACAGAATCCAATAGAAGTCATAATTTTCTGTTTCTATTATATTCTAAACGAATAGAAATTAAAAATTCAATTTTCATATCACAAGAGAGAGTGTGTTTTGTATACGTTTTGTTGACTCTATAACGAGATGTTTTATAAATTTATTATTTTTTATATAAGTGTAATAATAGTTTGTCTATAAATCAATACTCATATGCCGGTTGCTATCAACAAATCAGTGGATAAAACATACTTTAATTTCTTTTATATTTATTTATTTCTTATGTAACAGTAGAGAGAGAGAGAGAGAGAGAGAGAGTGAGAGAGAAAGAGAGAGTGAGAGAGAGACCAATTGAATAGAAAAGTATATTAAACTGGGTTAGTGTGCTGGTGCTTGATATCTCCTAGTGCTATAATATTCATTGTATTTCACATAAATAAATTCTAATACTAATTATAAGCCAAATCAAATTATTTATTCAAAATACATTACATTTAATCAAAACACTTACATACAGTAAATTAATTTGACAATCAAATTCATTTGCAATGAATTAACGTCTCATAAACATATGAATCATAATTACGGTATAGACTCGAAAGCGATCAACAAATGAATTATACGCTAATTAATAAGCGTTTGCCTTATGTTTGGGATAAAAGACAAAATTGTCGCTCACTTTCCCCAAAAACATTTCACTTATTTTAAGCCAATCACTGCACGACCCGCTGGACAGTAGGGTCTCGAGGTCTGTGCGGCCCACAAACGGCGGCGGCCTTTCGTTTATGCGTTGCGGTAATCGCTCCAACACTCCGACCGGTATATACCGGTGCAGAAACGACAGCCACTCCAGTAGGAAACGCCTCGTTTTGGTGACGCCCTCATCATCTGACCCCCAATTCTCGAGTCCGTAGTTCACGAAATCGCGCAAAATGTCGAGCCGTTCGCCGGCACTGATATCCCAGAGCCGGCGCTCCTTAATCTCAGTGAAAATCCACGGCTTAATCAGTGCTCCCCTTCCGATCA